ATTATAATATTCTATTAGCTATGTCTAACAATTATGTTATTCTTTGATATAAATGTGAAATTTAAAACAAATAAATGATGTATTCGTGTCGCGGTGTCTCTCTATTAATGCTAAAATTCTGTATACGAGTGCACATCCCTTCCCAAACGTCATTGGATTGTCAAAAGTCTCTCTCTCTCTCTCTCTCTCTCTCTCTCTCTCTCTCTCGCAGTTCCACTCATATTCACAGCACATGTAAGGGAGAGGACAGTTATTTTCAAAACTATTGAGTAGAATATGAGAGTAAAAGTTTGCAATAGTTTTGTAGCAACAGATCGGTTGTGAGTTTGAGTGAAGGCATACCTTAAGCCCGATATAAATTGAATGAGACTTTTATAAAGATTTTCCATACAATTAACAACCTCTCAAGGTATCTGTTCCTCACATAATTGTCAGGATATTGTAGAATATTCTTTAAAGTTGATATTTTTAAACACTTATAATTGCTTTCATAAATTATTTATTTGAGTAATTCTGAACAGAGTATTCAATAAATACTGAATTCAAACTTCACCCAAATTCTTGACCCAAAGAATGTCGACAATAATGGCAATCATAAAGGCCTTGTATCCAGTCATGATATTGGGGTTTATAGTGCCGGTCATACTTTGTGATAGCACTCACATGTCGGGCAAATCCAATGCCATCGACGACAACACCAATAATGAAATAACAAAGTTTGATAAGAATCTGGAGAATCTGGTGCCACAGTATTCCGTAGACCACAGTCTAGTGGACAACTCATTCATATCATCCTTATATCAACAGGAGGTCTGCCGTAGAAATATGGTTAATATGGTGTATGAACTGTGCAGACCCTACTTCAGAGCCGGTATGCCATTTCTTGCTTATTTATGCTTGATGATTAATTATACTCATTTCATATACACTAATCAATAAATTAAAATTTATGTCATTTATAACCAATATATCATTTTAATAAATAATTCTTATTTTCATTAATTTTTTTAAAAATTATCATAAAACTAATAATTTAATGTTTAAATACATAAACAAACTTTCAGTGTATATGTATGTTTATAACAAATATATTTTTTGAGTGTTTACATAAGCATTAATTCTTAATTTAATTTAAGTACTAAGTATTTATCTAAAATGTAAATCAGAAATAATGTTATTTTGTGTCAATGTCTGAACAATTGCACAGTAGTATGCAGTAAAAGTGGGCATCCTTATTTGGCACCAGTAGCCCGTAATTAGATTGTTTTTGAACACAAGGAATGTTGCTGTAATTATTATTTTGATACAATTAGCGATAATCATCTTATTTATAAAAAGTCTCATTTCACTTTTTAGTCTCAATCTGATAACAAGATTTTTGTAGAATATTTGTTATTTTACGATTCATAAACTTTTAATTTATAATTGAAAGTTTTGAAGCAATGATTAGAT